ATATATATATATATATATATATATATATATATATATATATAGATCAATCATTTCTTCCCTGTTTCCTCTGGTATTATTATTGTTTAGTGATGAACAGTAAGTCTTTAATGGAAAATGCTGCTCAAGATTATCTTTCATCCAGGTCATAGTCATTCCAAAAAAGTAAAATAAAAAAAAAGCAATCCACTGAACTTTGTTTCCAAGTTTGAAGACGATTCGTCTCCCATCCAGCTTTTTCTGTAACGCTTTCTTTTACAGTACATCAATAACCATGTAATAACATTGTAACAAGCATGGAAGTCGCACTTTGCTACTTGGTAACAAGAAAAAACTTCTTTTTGGGGGGTAATTACCCCAAAATTAAGGTAAATAATTTCAAAATAGTAGTCTGCATGTAATTAATACAGTTTTATGTGACTATGTCACAATGGAGCATTTTGGTGGGTAATTTGTTAATTACCCACCAAAATGCTCCATTGTTACATAGGTTGTTAGGTTACCATTGTTAGGTTAGCACAGTTTCTATTATTGGCCACCACCTACCAAAGACTTAAGAAGTAATTTGGAACTTATGATCAGGTAAATAAAGCATTAAAAAACTGAACTGAAGTTACTTAAAAATAAGAGTTTAGTTAAGAAGAGTTGCTCGCTGTATTCTAGGTTTGGTTTTCTGTTATATAACGAGGAATAAACTGCATTTTACCAGATAATAACTCATTAATGTATTGCTGTCTGCTAAATGAATATGAGTTACCGGTACTTGGTAATAACGGTTTGAAATCTAAGAAGTCTGACTCTACCTTGCCTGCCAAAAATTAGAAGCACAGCACTTACCAAAATTCTCCTTAAAGTTTTTCTTGTTACCTAGTAATATAGAATAACTTGCTATGTTATTACCATGTTATTAAAAAGTTATTAATGTACTGTAAAATAACTCCTTACCGCTTTTTCAGTTCAAAAGGTCAAAAAAAGGGTTGAGTTTGTGGCTTTATACAGCAGCTCAACAAACCAAACACACCGTTTCTGACTTTTTGATTTGAAAAAGCTTCCTGGATGGGAAGAAAAACATCTTCAAAATTGAAAACAAAGTCTAGTGGATTGTTTTTGTTAAACATTTTTGGAACTTTAATGGAAAGCCTCATGGCCATCACCCTAATCTTTGGCTTATGCCGCAGATTCTCTGTAAATGAGGTTGTGAATCAGGCAGGGCCCCTGAAAAAATGTTTTTATTCAAAACCAACATTTAGCTAAAAGACAACAACACATTCAGAAAATTATTTTTGGGCTTAGCTGTATTTAGCAAAATCTGCACATTAATTATTAGTTCCATCAACATTTTCAAAATAGTTTCTATTTTCAAGATATTGTAATTCCACTGATTTTGACCAAACAACATTCTTTAAAAAGACACAGAATTTAAGAGGATAAGTAAAACTGAACTATTATCATTATTTACAGTTCTTCTCTTAAATATATGCATTTAAAAAAACTAATGACTGCCAAGCTGAAACCACTCAACAAATAAATTCACAAATCTTATATTTCCCAGATTAAGAATGCACTCTGCATCAGATTTTCTGAAATATATATATTTTTTACTTTTTCTTTTAATCAGCTGAACTATATATTTTTTTCATTAGACCAACACAAATGAAAAGCTGCAGGTGCTTCTGTAGTGACGCGTTAAAAGAAGCAGGATTAGGTCAACATTTTCTCAGTACAACAGACCTACGAAGGTCTGCAAATAACATCTCAGGAAACCGAAATCTATGTAACCTCATTCAGCTTCCTTTGATATTTTTGACTTCCTGCCAGTAATGAAAGGCTATGAGCTTTAACTTAGAAACAGGTCAGAAATGTAAAGATTACTAAACAAGATAGAAAGAAAACAGCTTTCTAGTAGCATCGTGTAAAATCATTTCAAAAGATCGATTTAGAATATAAAGTTATTGACTACAATTTACATGATATAATATGAATATAGAGTTAAATAGGAATGAGCTGGATACTGGTGTCATGGTACATCTTTTAAGCAGCCAACAGCAGTTTCCCTACCTGTGGTAAGGGCCTAATGTTTGGGGATGAAGAATCAAATTAGCAACCGAATATCGGGAGAAACTACCAGGTAACCAGGGTGACAACATGAACAGGTGGGTGCAATTACCAAAACACAAACAGGTGAAAATCATATTAGCCCATCCTCAACGATAGATCCAAACATCCACAATGTGTCCCTAAAAAAACAAACCAG